ACTAGGACTTTTACTTTACTGATTTATTCTCCCCAAGTTTTGGACTTGTAAATAATTCCCCTCCCCGAAGCCTTGTAATAGTTAGATTTTACATTTCTGCACTTTAAATTTCCGCATATTATTAACTGTCTAGATGTATGATAATAGGATTGTATTGCAAGAATATAATAATCAAACGCTAGCGAACCTAACACAAGACAAAAATAACTGAATACAAACACAATTGCACATGCGCACCTCTAGGGTATCCTCACTTTGGTTGCCTTTGGAAAACCGTCACAACTCTTAAAATGTGAGAGACTTTAGTGGCTACCCTCTGGTTTAAAAGATAAAAAATGACCCTTTCGATGTTGCCTTGATATGATCTTAAAATTCTAGGGTAGTTACTAAGGTTTATTGTCCAGTTGCCTTTGTGACTATACGATGTCCCTTCGAATGTCCCTCAAACATCCAACGACTAGGGCTACCTACTCACTAATAGTAGGATAGCATTGTCTAAAAGAAAAGAGGAAAATAACAATCTTTCGAGTAAAATTAGATAGTTCATAGATGCCTACTAAAAAAAACATTTTTCTCACATACACAAATACTATTTCATAAAACATTTCCAAAACACTTTTTATACATTCTCTACCAATCCGAGAAACATTACAAAGTCCGTTGTACTAAGGAGCTTTCTTTCAAAAATACTTTTCAAACACACAAAGCACAAGGTATTTTTCAAATGAACTAGCATCTAAGAGCCCGTAGATAACTACTGATGGAAAGGGTGCTAACACCTTCCCTTTTCATAATCTACCCCCCTTACTCAAATAATCTCGAAAAGTCTTTTTCTGTTCTTTTCACCCTTTCATTTGTTGGATAAAAGAAAAGTCGGTGGAGAATCTTACTTAGCGCAACATTTGTGAATACAAATGTAAAACCAGTATAACAGTCGGTTCTGCTACCACATTACACTACTGCTGCTGGAAATTTTGAGTGCATTATGATTTTGATAAGTGGAGCATGAATATTTATGTTTTGAAGAATAAAACCGAGCAAGTTGTGTTTTGGAGAAGGAAACGATTCTAGGTTTCCATTTCCAGTTGCAAAGCTTTGTAAACCGCAACAACACCAACAAGAAGCTTCCATCTTTTATCTGTGAACCAAGCAAGGTAAACAATATCATTCTTTTCTCAAAAAATCAATTTTTTTCTCATAAATATCTTTTGGTTCTATAGAGAAAAATATGATTTGGAAAAAAAAGGGTTTTGAGTCGGTTAGACAGTAGAAGCAAGACACGCTCTAAACGGTAATAATAAATCAAATGTAATCGCAAGACAATGACACTTTTAAGAAGTGTATAAATCTAAAATGTAAAGACTATGGTGGTTAACTTAAACTGAAATGATTGATAAAAAAAAGTTACAATCTTACTATATATAGGTATGTAGTTTTCAATGCTTTATGCTCCAGTTAAGCACCACCATCCAGAATTGATCCTCTAGTTAGTTTTCATAAGAGAAGTTGTTGCTTTTTTTATAGTCTAAGAGAAATTTGTTGTTTGGCAGTGCTCAATTTGTATACTATATCCACGACCACCTACTCTCATTGGTGTATTTACGGGTGCATGCATAACACTAAGGTAAATCCTCTTTATCTTCTACAGGCTTCTTTTGTATGCCATAGTAGATTTTGATCATGAAAATGGTGAAGGGTTTTAAAGATTGTTGGCTCAATACATCTCCTATGTTGCAGTTGCAAGGCGGATTTTTATTCAGGTGATGTATTTACATTGAAATCTAATTGTCTCTAGTAATTAAAGATAGGGAAGGGTCTAGTGAGTGGGCATCAGTCCAACATCGTCTACTTCATAAAATAACCTATTCTACTTACATATAAAATTAAAGGACCTCTCATGAACTAACTTCTTTACTCGCACCCTTTCAAGAAAATGTGAAAACCCTTACTTATTTTTCACTACATCCGGAAAGCGATGCATCGACCCTTGCTTTTGATATTGTACTCGACCTATACATCGCGTTGTTTAAGGGCAACGACCTAACATTCACATTTTTCAAAGTTGATCCATATTAGAGATTCGTAAAGTTTTGTATTGTCTGTCGACTGTTTAACACAACCCTCTCCTTTTAAAACAAAATAAAAAAATTACAATAAATTAATTTTCTTAATAAACACCAGCGCATCAACACCAGTGCATGTTCTCTCTGTGAACCAAGCAAGGTAATCAACTCTTTTTTTCATAAATATTTGCAAAATGATGTTTTTTTAATGTGTAATTTTCAATGCTATATATGCTCCAGTTGATTTAGGGATTTGAGAATGTGAGAAGTTGTTATTTTTTTATAGTCCGAGAGAAATCTGTTGGTAATGTTGATCTCACCTAACTGCCTTACAAGAAGGTAAATCAAGAGTAATATCTTCTTGAATGAAATATGTTAAGCCTAACTGCCTTACACTAAGGTAAATCCTCTTTATCTTCTACAGGGTTCTTCTGTATGCCAATAGGCTATAGCCATAGTAGATTTGGATCATTAAATTGGTGAAGGGTTTTAAAGATTGTTGGCAGCTCCTCTGTTGCAAGGTGGGTTTTTGTTCATGTGCTGTATTTACATTGAAATCTAATTGTCTCTAGTAATTAAATATTTGCATTGAAATCTAATTGTCTCTAGTAATTAAATATTTACATTGAAATCTAATTGTCTCTAGTAATTAAAGATAGGGAGGGGTCTAGTGAGTGGGTATCAATCCCACATCGTCTACTTCATAAAATAACATATGCTCTGTACGTATAAAATGAAAGAACCTCTGTTTTCTTATTCTTACGGAGCCATGCGATGATGACATAGCGAACTATTCTTTCGCCTTTTACTAAAGAATATCGTGTCAGCATCGCAATATGTGGCATACGCTAGTTTTTGGAAGAGCCCTCTTCATTGAGGACTCTGCAAATTTAGTTTAAGTTTATCAATACTGCATTAGAGAGTCTCTCCAATTTAGCTTTAGTTTATAAATTTATCTCTTGATATATATATATATATATATATATATATATATATATATATATATATATATATATATATATATATATATATATATATATATATATATATATATGTGTGTGTGTGTGTGTGTCACTACTCTCAAGTTTAAATAAAACCAAAATGATTTGAAACATAACTCAATAACATCTGAAACAACTTAGAGAGTCGCTGCAGCAACATCCATATTCGAGATCCTTGCAAGCGCTTCATATGATAGATTTTGATCCTTTGTTTCATCTTTCATTGGTATTTTGTTTTTTTGAATGAAGTATGTTATGTCTAACTATTTATAATGGCATGCATAACTTGTTGTCTTGCGTCAAGCCTCTCTCTCTTCTACAGGATTCTTTTGAATGCTATAGCCATGGCCTATCTCTCTTCTACAGGATTCTTTTGAATGCTATAGCCATGGTAGAAAATGGTGAGGTAGCTAAAGACTTACTTAGATCGTTTAGCTCAATACAATTTATTTGAATGCTATAGCCATGGTAGAAAATGGTGAGGTAGCTAAAGACTTACTTAGATCGTTTAGCTTAATACAACACCTCTGTTGCAAGGTGAGTTCTTATTCATGTGCTATGTTTGCATTTAAATTCAATTCTCTCGGTGTTGATTCTTTTCAATGGAACAAAATATCTTTGGTAACTGGGTTGTAATGTTATTTTTTGCTGTATAATATTTGCTTGTCTTAGTTGTACTATCTAGTCCCACATTGCTAATGAGAGGAATTAGATAAGTTTGAAGTTACATATAAAGGAAGCTTATTATATGTTAGATTTTATCTTTGCGCTTGGGGCAATGACACAGCTAGTGAGGTTCTAACTGAGGCGCGTCTATTGCTGGTTGAAAACTATTTCCAAACCCCCTCTTAGGCTTGGGTTCAAGCCTTTAAGAATTTCTGGAAGGACTCCCTATGGGGTAAAGTCCTACAATTTTAATTCAATATTTATTTTGATAGATTTTATAGCTCATTAAATCTTGTGTTATAATTTATACTCTCTTTGGGGTAAAGTCCTACAATTTTAATTCAATATTTATTTTGATAGATTTTATAGCTCATTAAATCTTGTGTTATAATTTATTTAGATTTAATAAGACACCATAGTAGTAACATAACCCGGACACAAAATTGCAAACCAAAGCTTTTACGAGACTAAAAACTTTAACTTGAAACAAAATGATCTCAGTTAATTTAATAACAAGAGCAAAGCTATAGATATTAACAAAGTGAGGAGACCAAAAGATTTCTTATATAAATATGGTTATACACACTTTATCTATTTGGATCCTAATGGAGGTGGCAAATGTGAGTAGGTGTATAAATTGTTGATCCACTAAGTAAATACAGACTGTGACATAATACTACTCAAGCACTAAATAAATCTTGGGAACAAATACGTCTTAGTTTAGATTTAAAAATGATGGTTATCTTTATGAAAAAAGTGTTGTTACAGTTATAGTTAAATGATATTTTTTCCTTTTCTGCTATTTTGAATGAATCAATATCATGTTATCTTAGTCCCACATCAGAATTGTTAGAGTGAATAGTATAGAACATCATGTATAAAAGAGAAGTGTGTGATACATTGCAACATACTTACCTGGATGGGGACGATGGATGATCATCAAGGTCCATGGCCTAGGCAAGTGACCTCCATTGTACTTAGGAGGGGTGCTAGCCTAAGGTCTACCCAAGTGGTGGAGCCTACATCATAATTTGTTGTTGTGGGGGCATGCGTTCGCGCGGCCCCCTCCCAATTTAAATTAAGGTTTTTCTGTATGCTAGTTCCCGTTAATTTGATGAAAGCAAATCTTTTTCTGTTTGGTACCCATTAATTTGATGAACGTATTTTGCCTCTGCATTATGGAGCTTAGGCTTTGAAGAGGGAAAGGGACCCTAAAATCACATCTTTCATGTTCTGTTTGGGAAGAAAAGGTAAATAATAAAATGCCGTTCTATCTTAGAAAATCAGAATTTCTTTTTCTATGATTTGTAGCTACAGCTTGATAATAGTTTGACAAAAGAAGCTCCAACTGCAATACCACAAAGATTGATACGTAAAACACTACTCATCATCTTCATCTTTCTCTTGCTTGTCACGTGCAGAGGCAAAATACTTGATAAAAGGAAGACATAATAAAAGCGTCAACCAACTAATTATGAGAAGACTAAGTAAGTAAACAGAAATTGGCGTGTTCAGAGGTGCAAAAGTGGACAATTGTCTTGTGAGTCATGACTATTTTTTATTCTCTTTTAGAAGATGACCTTACTATTTGAAAACAAATCAAAGACTTAATCAACCTATTCAATTGTATCTACTTTGTCTAAAATTTTAGACTTTTTTCCTTATATTTCTTCAGCATTTGGTTTAAATATGTCTTTGTCTGTACATGATTACATTGTTTTAAATTTAAAACATTAGAATAAAAAACTGGTCTAAAATGTTTCATGTATTGAGATAATCTAGTGCACACACCTCAGAGCAATATATGTGGCATCTCAGAGCATACATGTCATCAAAAGTCAAAGACAATCAAATGGTAGAAATATGCATCAAAAGTCAAAGACAATCAAATGGTTGAAGGTGGCAAAGTTGATGCGTAAGAGGGCATTGAAAGTGGCAAAGCTGATGCGTAAGAGGGCATTGAAAGTGGCAAAGCTGATGCATAAGTCGGAAAATTTCAATCAATTACAGTGTGTGGAAGCATCTTTGAGAACCCTTTTAAGTGAAGGTTCTAATATATCTAATACCCTGGATGCATATGTTTGAATTTCATACTTTTTCTAATGATCTTTGTTTTGGTATTAAAACTTAACACTACAGCCTCCCAATACTTTTTCCTCTATATATAATAGCAAGCAATTCAAGCTTTATTAATGCATCACATGCTGTTAACCTCTCTTAATCAAAATTTCAGCATATGGTTGTTACATTAGGTTTCCTTAAAATTTGGTAAACTTGTCGTATTTGTGCCAAACATTGTGTATTAGTTGACAAACCATTATGGCAATGAAATGGATTTGTAGTGTATCCACTTCATTTAACCATTGTTTTGCCATTTTAAATCTCTTAGCATGAGTATTGTGTTCATACAACATAGCAGACAATTGTTGTACAACTAATGGATCAATGCCCTTGGTATTCCTATGTAACAGTAACGTAAGAAATGAGTTTTCGACTAACATATAAAAATAGCAGTATGAAAAATTTGCATATATGAAAGAAATGAAACAATTTAATGTATCTGTAATATACCTTAGACCCTGCATTTGATTTTGGACCTCATTCTCCGTGTCATAAGTAAATAATTGAGAAAATTTAGGTGGTTGTCCTTCAAGAGGTAACAAACTTCCAATTCAATGGCATGTTTGACCTTGTATCTGTAATGTTGGTGGTCCACCTCCATTGTTAAAATGATTGTCCAACTTTGCACCTGGTGATGTGAACACAAACATCATATTGTAAACTCGAATCTGTTGTTGAAACTTCCTGCTAATTACATTTTCTTGATCAAACAGAAGGTTAGCAAGAATTTCAGGAGGTTGTTTAAGCAGTGGGATTTCAACTTTGCCATTGCCATAATACACCATAAACTTTGGTTTCGCTGAATGGGAACTTTTGTGCATCCTCTCATGATACCACATCGTGGATTTACAATAACGACACTCGATAAGAGGATCTCCGATGTCGTAATAACCTATATAACCAGACCCAGTCTTATAAAATAGCCAGAATGGTAATATAGTAATATACTCTGTAAAAATGTTATACCTTCAGATGTTTTGGTGAAGTTGTCATGAATTGTGAAGGGTGCTTCGTTTTCTTCGTGATCGGAACAGAAATCCTCGTCAGATAAATATGTTATCAATAAAAAAAAAGGTTAAGTTAACCTTAAATGTAACAATACTTGTTTATATTACATTAATAGACTCCAAATAAATTGTATTCATAACGATAGACAATGCAATAAACTCTCTTACAAAAGGGTCATATTCGTTATCTTCGTCGAGTCGCTGTTAAAATCTAAATTGACAGTAGGTGTAAAAATAGTACATTCCGACTCAGATATATGAACGAGACTATGTGTGGAGGGTTGAATTGGTGTATCCACTGAGAAAGGTGGCATACCACTTTTCTAGGGAAATTGTTGACTAGGGGACCTAATTGAACTGTTATTCCTGTTAAATATGTTGTCGTGCAGAGAAGTTGTTATATACAAGAAAAGTTGATAAATGATTTTGTAATGTAAATATAAAAGATATGCATGACACACTAAGAAGCTTTACCTCATTTGTGAGGTTTTTGTAGTAGTTTCATTAAAATTGGATGCTGATATATTGAAAGTTTGTTAGGAAAATGTCGGTTCAAATTCATGGTCAAATTAAGTACTCTCAATTGTTTTTGTAGGCCTGTCACGACCTGGTTTTGCATTGGCTGCACTTCTATTTTAAGATTTTCAAGAAACCAAAATATACTATCAATCATATAAATTTTCATATTAACATTATCTAAACATATTCCAATGCATAATGAGTACAATAAATGGAGAATAAACAAGAGTATTAGGTAACACAACCATATTTAATATTATTAATGGCAAAAAAAGTTGGTAATCAAAGGAATTGAGTGAATCATACGGTGGAAGAGTTATAGACAAGCTTCGTTGATTTTCTGGCGCGGTTGTTGTGTAACTTTATTTCGAAGTGCATTGACATCTATAGTTAATGTTTTTTGTACTTCAAGCTTTACTCGAGTCTTTCCTTTTGTGTGTGTATGACTTTGTGGATCTCTGTAACATATACAACATCATTTTGGTGATTATAAAACACACAAATGAAAATCTTTTGTTATTATATAATACAACGTATTTAAGTAAAGTAAATAGACTTGCTTTGCACATTCCACGTATCAATCGACATATTAACATTTGACATTGCACTTGATGTTTTACAATTGTTAGACCTGCAATACTTAATCAAGGGCATGACTATGTGATAAAATATTAAAATGTTAGAGAGATGTTTAGATTAAATAAAACAGTGATCGAATGAACCTTACATGGTATGCTTAGAACAACTTCTAACCTCAAATGCAGGGTTGAGTGGGAAAGGTAGTTGATGTTATGCTTTTTCCATGATAGAAATATTTCCATTTTGACTTGTAGAAAAGTTAGAATCCGTAGAAAACTTTGACAACAAATTTGTTTCTAAGGACTGTATATGGGATGTCCTTATATTTGTTCTAAAACCATGTCTGTTTAGATTCGGTTCAGAACCATGTAAACATGTACTTAGTATAATTCCTTCTTCCCCAAGTTGTGCGTTAGACTTTTGGTTTTGGACGGACGGTGTAAGCTCAGCCAACAATTATCTTATTGTGAAACACTTTGGAGAGTTAAGCTTGACATTTAATGTAAAATTTTATTGAGGACTATGTCTTTGATACTTCGAACAGTTTTCTTTCATAATAAGTGATCTTCTTGCTCTTGCTTTTTTTCTCGAGAAAATTGGGTCAATATTGTCCATAATATGATCAGTTGATATGATCTAAAAAAAGTCAAAATAAACCGGTAACGTTAATCCTAAAGATAATTGGTGTAAAATAGGATAAATAGTTACATACAAAATGAACTATGACCAAATAAAAAAGGTAACAACTACACTCTAATAAAATCCCCAATTCCTTTCACACTGTCATATAAAATAGAAGTTATTACAACAACTATCCAATTTAAACATGTTACAGAGAAAGATGTTGAGTTAGGTGCTGCAACATAAATGTGATTAAATAATGAAAAATAGGGAAACTTGTAGGTATTTATAACCACTTTCCCGCTATAGTATTATGCCTCCAATATAACAAAGCTGCAGGAAACACCAAATTCTTAAATATTGGTTGAATTCTAATATATAATTCCAACAAAGAAGAAGCACAAAATCTGCCTCAAGGTAAGTCTCCAATAACTTACACTGTAATTACTAATACACTTAAGCACTGCAAAATCATGTTCAAATGATATCTAAATATATTGAATTATTCTAAAATGCAAAGCCAGATAATTGTGTTAGGTTCACTTAATAGGCTAATTCATGTTAATAAGATTAACATGAACCGAACAAACCAGCCAGAATTCCACAACCAGAATGTAATAAGTGTAATCTAAAGCCTAAACATTTGATAGTTAAAGTCATGTCTTTGTTGACATCAACATATATACAATGTATAAATTCACCTTGCAGCATAAATGACTTTGTTAAAAAGATTCAAAGTTGTTTGCTCAATATTTCACAGGCAATATATGAGATTTTTTCATACAAACCAAAATCTATTGTATTCATGTAAAGTCAATATGTTAGAGTTGTCAGACCTTATGGAATGTTGAAGTTGTAGCGTGTTAGTTAATTATTGTGATAAAGGACCTATCTACAAATATCAATATTTGAATAAATAAAATGAATAATCATTATATGATATAATGGGCATAAAAGAAAATGATATTGTGCAAATATACAAATTTGAATAAATAAAATGAATAATCATTATATGATATAATGGACATAAAAGAAAATAATATTGTGATTTATTAGTTCTTCTAGCATTATAAACATACTTCAGAATTTTATAATAGTCAATGAAATGTTTGGTTAGTTAGTTAAATGAATTATGTTTTGGTAGCTTAATCACTGGAGGAAAATAAAAATGTTCACGGGGAAATAACTAACTTGGTCTGTTTACAACCATGTGGTTGGTTAAACATCTAAAGGCTATGGCTGAAGGTTTATAATTTCAACTTTCAATGATAAAGTAAAAGCATAATGTGTTTTGTACCAGTTAACCAGAAAAGGAAGTACATATATTATTATTATTATATACATTAATCTGACTTTACACAAAAAGGATCATTGGAAAAGTACATGTACCATTAAGATGATCATATAATATTCATTGTTAAATCAACTCTAGCATGTCCAGAGACTTAAGAACACATTGTATTTAAGGTTGAATTGACCTTCAATACGATATCTTCTTTACAATGCTGCATCATGTCAATTCGAATATCTTATCGCTAGCAGGAAGTAACACAAAAAAAATCACATTTCTGGTTCCCAATGAAAGATAGCAACAACAATGTTTATTTATTTATTAACATGAAGTAGTAAAAAGCAATTTGTCCATTAAAATATCTTTATAATAACATTGTTATCTATAGAGATTAAGTAGAAGCAACATAACAATGTTACATGGTCCTGTCAAACAAAAACTGCCATTTGCAATGTTGGTTTCTACATATAACATTCCTTTACCTTGCAAAGAGATCAACAATTATAGTTAAATCATGTTATATTATTATTTCTTGCAGACTATATAATAATTAAAATAGGGATTATAATAAATATGGTGAATAGTTGAAGCCAAGGAGTAAAAACTTCATAGCTTAAAAAATGTCATACAATTTGCGCAAACTTGGATGTGTTGCTGTTATAATTGGGAAAAAATTAGAATTTTTAAAAAATGTGACCATGTTTCCTAAGTTTTCATAGTTGTAGTTTGGTTTGCGTTACAAGTTTTCTTATTTTTCAAATACAGGGTGCAGTAATGCATCAGGATTGAAAACTGCTTAGCATAACTAAACTGATGTCAAACTTGATTTCCACAATTAAGGACTAAAGCAAACATGAAGCATGCATATTTAGTTAAATGTATTTTTCAAGATAGTAGTCACATTGACAATGCTGGAACAATATAGAAAATCACTTAATCAATTTATTGCAAAAAACATAATTGATCACATAAGTAGTTTAAGTTTGGATCAAAGTGACAAAAAATGCATAACTATACCCTAAAACAGTCATTAGACATACACTTTGGAACAAATCCTTACAAATAAGGTGTATAGATATTTATTCATCAAAATAGACAAAGATTATGATATCGGACCACTCTTTCACTCCTTCTTTATATGCTTGACCTTTTTCCCAGGTTTGACCTTAGTGGCAGATTGTTTAGGAGTAAGTTCTGCAGCTTGAATAAGGTCATTAACTGATGTTAAAATAGAAACCCTCTTGGCAGGTGGGCTACTTGTGCTTGCAGAAGGACTCCAATGATGGTTTGTAGTGGATGATGGTTGAGCAAATATTTCTTGTTCAGAATCAAGGGTCATATATGTATGGTGAATTAAAAGATGAACAACTATGTATAAGATGGTAGTAAATATAAAGAAAAAACTAAATTGCCAATAAAGTTTGAGAGCATACAATAGGTTGGTTTGGTTGATCGGTTGGGTCAGAAGTGCAGGTTTCCATACCTATAACATTTGAGGTATGTTGTAAATTTTTTTTTATAAAAATCACATAGAATAACAATTCCAAAGTATGAAACACATAGACAAATAAAAATGTTTAACATCATTTGGGGTAAGGTAGTTCCTCAATTTGTTATAAACATTATCTTCGTTAAGTATTATGACAATTGAATATACTTGGAAAGATGATTGATACTTGATACAAAATGCCATGTCTCTATTCAACAAAATGTCGAGGCGAGCTGGCCAAATTTTGGGTTGTCCTCTCTAGCCTATACAATCAACAAAGTATTTATATTTTACCATTAAATAAAATTGAGTTATCATAACATTAATGCAAAT